TATAGTCTTCCCCTTCATTTTGCTGTAGAGAGTAGTCAAACATCTTGGCAAAGTCATTAATTCATGTTTTCTTTAAATCAAGCATACAAATTGACATCTTGGCATAAATATATGAAATTAACGTAAGTTAGAAAAAAAGCCACATTTTTAAAAATACCAGGAAATTAGGATTGAATGGAATCATGATGCAAGCTGTTTCCTTACATCACTTCCAGTTTCAGACTTACAGTGCAACATCCCAGAAGACTTTAAACTTTCGATCAAAACATTGTTTTATTTAACAAAATAATTTATTTTATGAACATCCTCTTTTTCAGTTCTACGAGTATTAACATCACACCTGTGTCCATAATAAATGAACATGGGTATCAAAAAGAGGCACTCTGCACTGAATACTCCAAACTGAGAACACATTTCTCATTTCATGGCATCCATTCTGGGGCAGCAAAGGTACTCACTTTTGTCTCTCCTGCTTGTATTGCTGTGTGCATTCATCAAAGAGTTTCTGGTTCATCTCCATAAAGAGTTTCAAGGCATTGTAAATTAACCCATGTATTGTTCTGAAATTAAAACCAGAAACAGGTCTAAAACAAGCAAACCAACAGGGCACAAGATCAGCCACAGGTAAAATAATATTCTCAGAGGACACTCACTTATTCCAGTGCGATTTAGAGTTACGGTAAAGTGACGGAAACATAATGGGAAGGATGTCTGCAGCATTATCACTAATTAGAGACATTATGTATTCATTGTTCCAATAATACAGTGCTCTCTCTGCAACCTGTAACACAATAAAAAGGACACACTCATCAAAAGGAAACTCATGCATTCTAGAGAAATGGCTCACACCAAGAAATTACTGAAGTTAAATGAAACACACAAGAAAGGGTGAGGACCAGGAATGGGTTCCCACCTTTCTTCTAATCCAATCTTTTAACCATCTAATTACATCCTGAAATTACTTTTTTTCAGAACTGAATAATTTTAGTGTTTAACACAATTATTTCATATATTATATTATATTAAGCTTGCACAAATCTCAACCAGGATATTTTAATCAAAATCTAAGAAAATTAGATGCTACTTTTAAGTACAGGTATAATCCAAAATTTGAATTCTTCGATTTGATTGTACAGATATGTCTGTCCCCCAGTCGTGTTCGTCATTCCATTCTATATAGGAAAATAGAATACCATATGCTGGGACAAAGCAACACTTCTTATCTCTGTCCTGTAAATAGGCGTACTATATACACTGAGAAGGATGTGGATATGAAAGTTACTGCTGTATCAACTGATGAATGATCTTGCGTCTTCAATCATATTTCCATTAATGTGAACAAGGTCACTGTTGTGGAATATCAATGTGCTCCAAAATTAATGACCTGTCTTTTATATGCTGTATAACTCGGATACTGGGAACGACCCGTT